CTATAATTTTAATTGCTTCAAGAATTCATTTGGCTTTTTACAATTTGTCTATTATACATTCATTTCTATTTCATATACTTCTACTCTTAATAATTTCCTTCTGTTTTGTTGTTCTTGCCCTAACTTCATAAGAAGGATATTTTAATCAAGTTATATCTTCTCTTACGATATATACTATACATAACATATACCATACATTGACAAATGTAGCCTAAAGGCTATACATTTTCCTCTGAGCATGACTTTGGCTGAAGTCCACACATTGTGATACATTATATGTTTATTAACGTTCAGAAAAATATGTTCTAATTTCCATTGTGATATGTTCTTTGACTTGAAGTATTTAGAGGTATATTATTCAATTTTCAAATATTTTGGATTTTTCTACTTTTCTTATTAACTTGATTATTCCTGTTGTCACAAAACATGCTCCACATGATATCAATCCTTTGATATTTGTTGATCTCCTTTCTAGATCAGTATATAATAAAACTTTCATATGCCCGTGAAAAAAATGTCTATGTCATTGTTTAGAGTGTTCTCTATGTATCAATTATGTCAGGTTTACAAATATTGTTATGTAATATTCTATATTTTTAGTAAGAATTGTATCTCCTTGTTCTATTATCAAAAATGTATCTTAACTATGATTATGAATTTGTCTATTTATCTCTTTCGTTCTATTTGCTTTCCATATTTTCAGGCTATGTTTTTGGACACATACAAATACAGAATTTGGTATTTCTTCCTGGTATATTTCCTATTTTGCCATTATAAAATTCCTTCTTTGTATCTAATTATTTTTCTTAAGTCTATTATTGAGTATTAATAGAGCTACACTAACGTTACGGTGTTTTCATGCTATCATTTTCTATTTTTTTTTTACTTCAAGTTTTCTTTATCCTTATGTTTAATGTTACTCTTTTGTACAAAGTATATGTTCGGTATTATTTTTTAAATGCACTGTGACAATTAATGTCTTTTAATAGAATTAGTACATTTACATATAAAGTAATTATTTACATATAAAGTAATATATCTGTGTTTAAATATATCATCTTATTGTTTGTTTTCTGTTTGTCCTATTTGTTCTATGTTCCCTTTCCCTTCCTCCTTCATTTAAACTAACTACATATTTTGGATCATATTGTGCTGCTTTTCCTTCAGACTATCTTTGGCTTTTCTTTTTAGAGGCTATGCTAGATTTCAGCATACATCCTTGACTTAATAAGGCGATAAATATTAGCACTATTATTACTTCCTGAATAATTCAAGAATCTTAGAACATTTTAATTCCACTGACCCTTCTGATTTTGTGGTACTGTTTCTATTCTAAGCTTTTTTTGAACTTAAAAGTCAACTCCCATCTTTTTCTTGACAATGACTTTTTGAAAAGACCAGGGCAGCTATCTCAAAGAATATGCCACCTACAAAATGTGTCTGTTTTCTTTTCATTTCATTTAACATTTTCCTCCATCCCATCCACTTCCTGGAAACCAGAATTGAGATCTAGCTAAATTAGGTTTAGGTAAACATATTAAGCAACAGTACTTCATAGGTGATGCTTTGAGTTGTATACTTTATCACATCATATTTTGTAATTCTAACCTTATAATATTCTTGCATAGATTACATGAGATGGTCTATGTAAAGTACCCAACATGTTATCTGATGTATAACACTTAAAGAGCAGAATTTCTCAACTTTGGCACTAGTCATTTTGGGCTGAATAATTATTTGTTGTAGGGCCATCCTGTGCATTTAAAGATGTTTATAGATATTCCTGTACCTATCCCCTAGGTAGCATCCCCCAGCTGTGACAATGAAAAATGTATTAAAACATTACCAAGTGTCCTCTGGAAGGCAAAATTAAGCTCAGCTTAGAACCAGTGATATAGAACAACTGAAGTGTTTTTGATAAATATTCTTCAAGCTCTTACTATCTTGCTCAAGGCTGTGAGATTAGGAGTCAAATGGGACATGAATCCTGATCTCAACATATTCATGGTTTGGGGAAGAAACAATCCAGAAAACAGGGAACTAAAATGTGGTGTCATAAGTGCTGTGATAGGAAGCCACCTGCATTATGAGAGGAGGGGCATCTAACTCAGTCAGAAGCATAAGGTCCTTTCATGGAGGAATAGAGAATTCTGAGTTGAGACCCAGATGACAGCCTTCCCTTTCCTTTCCCAGGAAGATCCAAGAGAACAAACAAATAATGACTACTCAGAGTGAAGATAAACCCTCCAGAAATAAAGTATCATAACCCCTATTATTTCCAGGCTCTATTTTAGAATATGATCATTAAGATTAATCTATTAAAAATACAGAGACACAGATATGGTGAGCCAGGAGTAAGAGCTAGAGATGTCACAATCCACCATCATCTTGAGTTGTTAATAGCAAATATATTATGTTTTTCCATTCTACATTCCCCAGTAGGTATGAAAACAGAATGGATAACAAAAACCAGATTAATGCCAATCAGGATTAATGTCACACGTATCCCTTCTTGCTAACACTGAAAGGTATTATGAGAATGACTATTCAACTGTGTGTATGAACCCAGCTACCTATATTTCCAACCTTCATCCTGATTAAGTACTTCAGATCACTTGCAGTGGAAGTCAGAGATTGGCTACCTGTTCACTAAGCCTGTTTCTTCTACTTCCTGGACACATAGCTCAACTACTTTTCCTCCCTCCTCTGTAGTTTCCTGTGGCCACGTGACTGAGTTCCAGCCCAAAGTATGTGAGAGTGGAAGCAACATGTACTTCATGAGATTTGAAAACTTCCCATGTGAATTTTTTCAGGCTGTTTTCTTTTCTACTGGCTTGATATACACAAGCATTGGTACCTTGGAAGCCAGGATTTAAAGAGGTTAAAGTCGAGGAGAGGAAGAAGACTTTGTCCCCGAGTCTCCACTTGAAGGAGAGAGGCCTTATCAGGAATTCCCATATTTGTGTTTTACGTGAATAAGAAGTAAACTTCCACTGTGTTCAGTCACAGAGATTTGAGGGTTTATCTAGCATTAGCAGCTAGCATTACCTACCTGATACACCAACATGGTGAAATAACCAGGTTTCCTCTGCAATTGTAATCCATTCAGTTCCCCAGACATGCATGGGCATTTCAGCATTGTTCACCAAACCAGAGGCTTTGCTAAAATATGTCACCAATATTCCCTGGAGTTAAATGTTTATGTGAGAGGCTACTTTCAGGGCCCTTGCTAAAGATCATACTTCATCTAATATCTGCTGCACAGGAGTATAAAAGAACATCATCTTTCATGTCAGACAGAAGGGCTTTGAATCTTGGCTCCCCTGCTGACCATTCATTGACTCAGTCTCTCTGAGTCTCTGTTTCTTCATCTGCAAAATGACAGTAATTACACCTCATAGGAATTTTGTTTCAATAAAAAATACAAATAGCATGTAAAACACTGGCATAGTTCCTGGCATGTCCAAGGTACTCAGTTCCTTCCCAACAACCAGGAAATTAATGAATGGAGTATTTTTTTCACCTTTCTAATCAGAAGACTAAGCAAGGGGTGGCCTTTTCACTAAGGACCATGTATTGATCTTTCTGTAGAAATGTTGACTATTTCATATAAAGAAACCAGGTTCAACAAATACTTATCTTTGGTCTAAATAAGGAGAACTTGAGTTTTAAGAAACTTAAAAATAAATGTGTAAACAGAGACAACATTCATTCTTTTTATAACTATTTTCCCTTGCAAGAAATACATGTCATATTTTCAAACCAACACCAGCAGAACATATGCTGGGATTTGACCCAAAAGGAGAACAATAAATGAGACAATTCACACAACAGAGAGGAAGGAAAGCATTTTTCTGGGTAATACTAATCGACATGCAACAGGGACCTTCCCTGTTCTCATGTAGCTTCAGATAAATTGACTCCGGGGGAAAAAAAAAAATCGCACATCTCAAAGCTAACTAGTCAGGGGCAAACAGGACGCCTTCCCCAAACCTACCTCTGTAAATGAGATTTGGCAACTGGACAGGTAAACAGAACACAGTGCATCTAGGGAAGCTGGCAGAGCCATGAACTGTTGCAGCTTCACCCCTCCAACTGCAGAAGGAGGCTGAAATATCAGGGCAACCAAGATTCAGAGGGAACCTTGAAGAGAGCCACCCACCAGCATGACTAAGTGCTCTTGGGGACAATCCCTGCTCAGAGGGCAGAAAGCAAATATCCAGATGTTATGAGCTGCCAGATGTGATTAACAGAGGAAAGGTGAAGTTGCCTACTTAACCATCTGAACAGCCCCCCTCATCAAAGTAATCCAAGAGTTTTCTGCAAAAGTATTCATCAACAAAACAAATGGAGGCTCCAACCATCTTCCATTCCCACCCCTTTTCCTCTCTCCCTCTCATTGAGTCAGAACAGTGGTCTATTTTTAAACCACTGGCAATGCATTCTCTCGTGGAAACGTGGGGGCTTCTTGACACAGGCTGATGCTCACTCACAGGAGATACAAGCGCACTGAAAGCTGCACCCACTCACCAGTCCTTCCTCTCCCACAGGAGTGGGGCAGAGAACACTCAGGGAGGAGAGGGCCTCAGGAGGGAGCTTCTGCCCATGCAGAGGAGTAGGGAGTATCCCTGTCAAGAGATCTGATGCCGGATCTCATGGTAGGGATAACTGCAGGCTTCCCTCCTCCGTGGAAGGGAAGGCTTACACTTAGGTAAAAACCAGCCCCTTATACAGGTACCAAGACAGAGCTCAAGCCTGAGGAGAAGGGAAACAAACCCTGGAAGCTGATTCTAGGAACTTTTACAGAAAAGGAATATAAGCGGATCTCAGTGTTTCTTTAACATGCATCTGATGTGCTTTAAGTAAAATAGCAAACATTTTATTACAACACTGTAGACTTTTTTTTTTTAACAAGGTCATAAGGCCAATTTATAAATAAAGCAACAACCATCAGTGAAATTAAATAAACACTTTAATAAAGGAGGTTGTGGTGTACTTACAGTCGCTCCAGCTGCTTCAGGTCCTGGAAGGCGCCTCTCTCAATGATGCTGACCTGGTTGTCTTCCAGATGCCTACAGCCACAGAGACAGCAATGATTAAGGACAAAGCTGGGCACAGGGGCCCTCACAATAGGCTACGTGCCATGCAGGCATGGTCACTTGGCCCCTCCCATGACTGTCTGGGTCCTTTCAACTGGGATCAGTCAGATGGGACAAGATAACTCATATCCCAGCTTGGTGTCACGGTAACCAGGGTTTCGCCGCCTGCACACTTCTACCTGACAGATTGGTTTCCATGTCTCTATTTTAAGAATGTTCTCAGCAAATGTCCCCCCAAGCACTGCAGGATGTTGCGCAGAAAAGAAAGAGGTAAAAGCTGCTCCTTATAAAAACCACACATAGATTCAGCATCTCTTCCCTGGGAGCTCCCTCCTCCAAGGATTCAAAAATACTTCATTGAAAAGGGCCTTCCCTGCTTACCCTAGTAGAAAGGGTGAGGCTATTGTGAGACAACTGACTGTCAACAAGAAAGCCAGCCTGGTCCCAGGAACTCCTCTCACTGGGCCCAGCTAATCCCAACCACATGATGATGGTCATAAAAGATCAGGCTCCCTTCCTCCAGCCACACGCTTCACTCACCCCTGTCAGTCTCCCAAGCAGGTGATTACAAATCTTTAACACTCTGTATAAGTGAGTTGGTTCATGCATGCAGTATATCCAAAGAATTGAGCAAATAATGAAACATTTGTTTCCATAACTTAAAAAAAATGCCAGCTTAAACAGATGAGCCAAACAGCAAAGAGAAGAGAAGCAATGAAGGTATGAAGGTATGAAGCTATGTAGCTTCCAGAGGGGGCTAACCTTAGGCTTGGAAATGACATATATTACACATGGTAGCTGAATGAGACTTAGCAGGGATGCAGTTGTGATTGGAGAATATTTCTTTAGAAGCTGGAGTTTAAGGAAGGACCGTGGATTCCTCTGTATTACGCAGGAGAGGCGCCCATAAGCACTGAAACGGCAGATGGAAAGGAAAAGCAACCCTGGGAAGGCTGCATCTTCATATCAAACTGAGTGCTCCATGGCAGTCTCTCCCTATTAGGTGTTTCATAACCTCCTGCACTTCTCAGCCTCAGAAGCTTCTCACTTAACAGCTACACAAATGATTGAAGGGAGAGGCTAAAAGATTTGTCCAAGGAGAAATTATTTATGCCAATTCCCACAGCCAGGGAGGGTGGGCCCTCTAACTCCCAGTCTGGTGAGCATACCAGATTGTTTAGAAGCTCTGTTTTGCTTGCACATTAGCTGATGGTATAAGAGTGGGTTAACTGGTCAACCTCTCTGAGACTCAGTTTCCTTATTCATAAAACAGAGAAAATAAAACATTGCAAAAGTTCTTATGAGAACAAAAATGGAATAAATCAATCATCTAGCCCAGGTTCTGCAATACAATTCGAAGCTTAAGAAATGTTTTTCCGGCCAGGCGCGGTGGCTCATGCCTATAATCCCAGCACTTTGGGAGGCTGAGACAGGTGGATCACAAGGTCAAGAGATCGAGACCATCCTGGTCAACAAGGTGAAACCCTGTCTCTACTAAAAATACAAAAATTAGCTGGGCATGGTGGTGCACACCTGTAGTCCCAGCTACTCAGAAGGCTGAGGCAGGAGAATTGCCTGAACCCAGAAGGTGGAGGTTGCAGTGAGCCGAGATCGTGCCATTGCACTCCAGTCTGGGTAACCACAGCGAAACTCCATCTCAAAAAAAAAAAAAAAAAAAAAAAAATGTTTTTCCCTTCTCTTGTCTTCCTTTTCCATTCCACCATATGCAAGGAGGGCCTTGGAATGCTAATCACACTAGCGTATCATGCTAAATAGACTTCAACACTAGCAACTGGGGTTTTGTTGAGCTAAGTTTTTACTATCCATCCACCAATCAAATCAGTCACAGACTCTGCAGTCATTATTTCCTTGATGGATAGCAACGACCAACTCTAGGGTTTATGAGGACCACATTCCCTCTGGGTCTCTGAAGGAGTCTAATTCACCCCTTCTATAATGAATCTCAGTTCTGTGCTCTAACACTATAAGCTTCTTTCAGAGAGGAAAATAGAAGAGATGCAAAGATCTTTATAACATACACTGTTTCCACCTTGTGCAGACCCTGGAAAGCTGATTTTTATTGGCTTCATCAAGAAACATCCCCCGCTTCCTGCAAGACAGGGTCTCACTCTGTCACCCATGCTGGAGTGCAGTGGTGCAAGTTGCTGGGACTACAGGCACATGCCACCACACCCAGCTAATTTTTTTTTTTTTTTTTTTTAAAGAGACGGGGTTTTACAATGTTGTTCAGGCTGGTCTTGAACTCTTGGGCTCAAGCAATCCACCCACCTCGGACTGCCAAAGTGCTGGGATTACAGGCATGAGCCACCGCACCTAGCCGTCAAGACCATCAAGCAGCTTTTTGACTTCTGGATTCCTGTCAGGTTCAGCCAGTGAGTCACCAGAAGGAGATCAGAGGGCAGAAGAGTGTGGTTGCAGGGTTTATTCTCCTTTCCTGCCAAGCCACTTCACGCTGACCGCATCCCTCTACTAAGACAACAGCCTCTGTGAGGTAGCCCCGACTTTTGCCAGGCTCTGATAACTACTCCCTCCCTGGGCTCCTCGAGGCCCAGGGGACAGTAGTGGCTCCGTTTTGACTCCAGCCTCAAGGAACTGCACTATCTCCTCTAGGTTTCTCCTAACTTTGCCCACATCTCTGTAAACAACTCTTTACTTCGCTCTCCTCATTTGCCTTCTTTCCTTCTGGGACCCTCACTGACCAGGTATCCACTTCCCTTCAAGGTCTACTTCCTAGATCCCTCAGAGTCCAGCCTAGAACCTGGCATTCAGAGGCTCAATAAATCATCAATATTTGATGAATAAATGAATCAATGAGTAAAGACCCTCCCATCCAGACTTCTGGGCTGAGATGCAAGCCAGGAGCATGCAATAAAGCCATCGATATCTTCCCCGCATTTTCAGACAGAGGATCCAGGAAGGGCTGGACACCCAGAAGGCTGTCCATGGCTGGAGTTTGTTCCGAATTAGAAGAACAGAGCCTGTGTTCATTTTCAGCTCTTTTGGCATCGTATTTTTTTTTTTTTTTAGTTTTAGCACTGGATCAGGATCGGAAATTGCCCCCATGTGATGATGATGGCTGGGGCTGAGTTTAACTTTTTTATTAACCCCATTTGGGATAAAGTTGACTCCCACATTGTGAGCATAGCAGAGCCCTTAAAAAGACTACTAAGAAATCTAACATAATTAATACCACCAGAAGAGACTTTTTCCTACTCCCACTCATGGAAGAAAAAAAAATTGTCCTGGGCAATTCTTCTGTCTTCTCCTTAAATGCTCTTCATTTGAGGAAAATTGCTCTGGGTTGAGACTAAAATTCCTTAATCTCCATTTTATCTGCTTTTGCCCATATTAACAGTTTGACATAGAAATGGGTGGCAAATTATTCAAGACTACTGAATCTTTTCTAGCTTCTCTAGAAATTGTAAATAAGAAACAGATATGGGGAATGTGCCAAGGTGTGAAAAAAATCTTTTCAAAAACGATAGTTGTCTAGGTTACTCAGCTAAAAAGAATAGATGGAGGAAAAATATGGTAAAAATGTCTGGATATTTTATTGGTGTTAGTTAGAAAGCATTTCAGCTATTCCACCAGGCAGATTCTGTCACAGTAATAAAGGGCTACTTGAATGGGACTGTCTTTGAGTTGATAAGGAAGATAATGAAACAGTCTATCGGGGGAGGAGGGGAAGGCTTTTTGGCATTGCTTATCAAAATAAGAGGAATGTACCAATTAACTGAAAAGATAAACTGAAGTCAAAGGAATGTTGTAGACCATCTAGGGGACATTAAAACAATCTTTTGTGATTATTTTAAACTTTCTACTTGCAGAGAGCAGATACGAAAATTGGAATTTTTATTAGTCTTTCTGATGTAACGTTAAGAAAATCAAAGGGTTGTTTTTGACTTTGTTAGAAGATGAAGCATTAGGTGAAATATCTGACTTGCATAAAAGGAAATCTCTCACAGACTCAGGGGAAATAAATTTAAAAAAAAAAGAAAGATAAACGAGCATCTATTTTTTAACCTGGAAAATGACATAGAATCAGGAGTTGCTACCTATACCTGTTCAATAACAATCATTGTAAAACTGAACCATGGAACTCCCCAACCCTTATCCCAATCTCGATTCTGATCCTCCCATACCTTGTCAGAACTACCAGTCACTTGATAGACACATGGTTGCTGGAGCAAAAGAAAGACCTGGCCCAGAGTGTGCCTTCCCTTTGAGGGTGGTGAGAGGAGAGTGACTGAGACCAAAGACAGAGAACGTGTTGGTGTGGAGAGCATCTGCAAGCTGGAGGCCCAGCATTCAGATCCCCAAGTCCCCACACATGAGTACACAAGAGCAGCTCAGAAAAGCCCCCACATTATCAGTGTCACATTTACAAAATGGGTGGACTATCACTGCCTTAGTTTTCTCAGCTTTCTATAACTCAAATGCACAGTGGCACCGTATGGAGGTTAGAGAGCACAGAGTCTGGGTTCCAATCCCAGCTCCTTCAGTCACCTGCTATGTGGAGTTGGGACTACTTCACCTATCCACACCTCTGCTTCCTCTGCTACAAATAGGGGCTCTTGATACTGCCCACCTTGTATGTTACCACTATGTAATATCACACTGGGCCCATGAAAGTATCATGTCCATCATCATCATTACTAACAACCAATAAGAGAAGAAAAACAATGTTGTAAAATTAATGCTTCACAGGTAATTGTGAGAATCATCAGAAAATGTTAAAACTCTGAAGCACCACATGTGTAACTATGAGAGTTGAAAATAATTCTAACTACATATTCCCTACATTGCAGATGAGAAAAATTTGCCCAAGGTTTCATGGGTAGCTAATTCTGAATCAGGACCAGAACTTGGTACTTTCTGTCCCAAGTACAAAATTCATTCTGTTTATTATATAGGGCTATTGGTAAAAAGGAGGTAGCTTCAGGTATTCAAGACTTTAGCTGTTACTCCTAGTAACAATTTGCCAGCCAAGATTCCATGGTATACAAATACCAAGGCAGTGGCCAAATGGCCCAGGCTGTACTTCTTGTCTGGAGCCATGCTTTATGGGTCAAAATTAACCACCAAGTAAAGAAAAAGAAGATCTAAATTGCTTGTTCCTGTACATCTCTGAATGTCTGCGACTTTTCAACGGACAAGCACTTGGGAAGTTTCTTATCACTCACAGACTTAAGGATGGATGAAAGTTTTCAATATTCAGCAATGAAACCTAATATTCCTCGCTCCCCTAGTCCATCAATGCCTATCTCAAATTTTGCTACCTGTCTGCACAGCTGTGGGTGTTCAACAAGGTCTCTGACCCTTTCTGATGGTCTCCTCCCCTCTTCTCCATTAAGCTACAAGACAAATAACTTTTGTCCTGATTGCTCTTTTAATGCACAGGCTGGAGAAGAAATTATAATCTCTATGGAAGGGAAGCATGGTTAGTCAATCTGACATTGCTGTCATCCTAGAAGCTGGGCATGTTGATTTATTTGTTCATAGCCTTCCGCTTTCCCTATCACTGGAACTAAGTTCTTCCATCAATCTAGCTCAGCCAGCAGCATCCAGACACGGAATGTGATACCTGTGAGCATGCGAGTACACTAATGAGGGGCTTTCTGCTGCAGAATGTGAATGCCTGTTGTCCAGGGCTTGGAAGTGTGATGTCAGGGGCAATGGAACATTTATTTTTTTGTGAGGCTGCAGAGCTAAAAATGAAAATGCACCAGAGAGCTATCAACTACTTACAAGACTCGGAGGTTCTTGAGCCCAGCGAAGTCCATCTTGGTGATCCTGGTGATATTATTTCTGTCCAGGTCACTGCAATGGAGAGCAAATTCAGGTCAGATTTTTGTGGGTTACAATTGTGGTCTATTTAATCCAGAGTAGCTTGGACTGAAGGGACGTTGCTTGTCCAGAAGAAGGCAATTCTGATGATTAACGATATCCCTTGAGCATGCCCGGCTAACCTTAAGGATATTGTATGGAATAAACCATTCATTATGTGCATAGCAGAACTCTGTTATGTTTAACTGCCTGCCTTCTGTGGTCCCTTCTTTAAGTAACAAATTTTTCTGTTGGAAGTTTCTCCTCCCCCAACTCTCAGATCATGTCATACAAATGGGGCTGACCCCTCTTCCCAGCTCTAGGCGCGGGCATCTGATCCAGGCCAGGCTGGTAAGTATCTTCAGTCTCTCTGACCACAGCGATTGTTTCAGAAATGCCTGAGTACTCAAAACCCCAATAACTGTTTATCTATTGGGATTGCTAAGCTGTTCAGGGTAGCCAGAAGCCATCTCACCACCACAAAAACAGTGAGCAGATGATGCTCTCCTGTGAATGTCCAGACCCACTCATGCCTGAAGCCAGGTACCTCTGTATTTTGAGAGTGTGTGACCCATTCTATCCCATCTCTCCTCTATTTTGATTTAAACCAGTTTGAGTTGAATTTTCTGTCACTTAAAATCAAAACAACTTGCCTAACTGTGGTATGTAGCTAGAAACCAACACACAAAACAAAAATTGTCTATTTTCCAGCTAGTCTGCAAACTCCTTGAGGGCAAACGCCATATCTCATTTAACTCCATACTCAACATAGTAGATAGAATATGTGCTTGGCACATAGCAGAGGTGTCTTGCTCATCTCACATGTTAGGTAAAGACGTTTCCATGGATTACTCCCGTCTCAACTTGTAGGCTTACGCTCCTAAATATAGCCCCAAGGAGAAGAATTTGCCACAGAAGAGCTGAAGGGGCGGTAGTGATATGAAAGTCAGGGTGGAGGGGCAGCATGGATCATGGAAAACTACAGTTAGGAAAAACTCAAGTCAGGAATGAGCCTGTGAACAACTGTATGAACATTCCGTGTTCACTATAATCTAACAAGACTGAATGCCAAAAAGGGAACCACGAATAATACGCTACAATTCTCAGTAACAGATGCTGAATAATTGATCCCTACACATTATGCCTTCTCTAACCCTAACTTTTCAGGATGTTGGCCCTTGGAGTTTCAACAAAGTTTCTGTGAATTGTCTTTGCTTTCTTTCTGAACACTTATATACTAAGAGCCATTTTTTCCAATGGTGACTCCCCATCCAAATGTTCACCCCTTCTTGGTTTTCCTTCTCACTTCCTAAAGATGCCGCCCCGCAATTATGTCTCCTTTATACAGTTGCATAAAAGGAACAGAGAAGGAATTTTCAGATTCTAGCACTTAAAAAAATCAAATTTGAGGAGAGATTACTCTCCTGATATCAGACATAATACTGAATTAAAAATCAAGTGAGTCCTTGAGTAACCTCACCCAGGTACCTCCTCCCTTCCTCCTTGAGTTTTCCAATACCTAAAACAGCATCAAAGTTGTTTCTGAACTAGCTTGTGATGGAGAAAAACAGTATTTAGACTTCTCTGGCTAATTTGAGTGTTGGTTTAGAAAAAAAAAAATTGCAAGAATTGCCCAGGAAAATAAAGAAGGGTTATCCACGCAGAGATTAGAAACCTGCAGACAAATAGAAATCCGTACACACTCCAAAGCATCACACGTGTTCTCACCTCCCGCCTGAATTCAGATGGATGTTTGGGGACCTTGACAACTGTGAATATGACAAGGCAACTAAGGGTTTAATTACCAGGACGCAGCATGGTATCTCAGCAGCTTGTGCCAGCATCTGTAGCACCAATATTTCCAATGAATACGTATTATGTAAAAGCACAGAGTGCACTGCTGAAATGCTGAGGACGTAGTAGGGGATGGGGGGTCTGCTGTGGGGTGGTCCCAGGCACAGAGTTAGTGTTTGGGAGCTGAGTTTAGAGGCAGGAAGTCCTAAGCTTGAATCCCTGTCCTGCCACTTACTGAGTGATCAAAAAAGGCAGTGTACTTCATCTCTGAGGTAGTTTCTCCATTTACAAATGAGGCTGACAATCTTGACCTCAGGATATTTGATGAGGGTTAAATGAGATGACATACACACAGCACTTATCTGGCACTTATTAAGTTCTCAAGCATGGAAGCTATTACTGTAAGTAGTTGAAGCGCATCTCTCCCACCTTCACTCTGAAATTTCAGTTCACCAGCAGAAGCTGACAGCTTAGTACCCCAAACTTGTGCCTACAGATGAATCCTGGGATCCCCAAGACACTCCTTGTTGGTGTGCTCTCTTCGTAAAGAGAGGATTTTATTTCGTGGCTGAAAAATAGAATGATGGGACCCAAAGCACCCCTCTCCCCCGACTGCCTGTCCTTCACAGCATTTCTGTGGTCCCTATTTTCATGGTATCTGAGTGTAAGTGACACAGGGGCTATGGAGGAGGAATGGGCTCTCCCCTTCCACTGAGCTGTGCTGCCTGCCTCTGCCCACCTCCCAAACACACATACTGCCAGAAAAGGCCAGGGAGCATGTAGGCTTTGAGGTGAGACAGCTCCAGACCCCAACTCCACACAGCTGGGCTGTGTGAGTTTGAGTAATTTACTTAACTTCTCTGGGCCTGCATGCCTGCAGACCATGGGATGATGAGAAACACATAGCTGGGGCCTGAACACACATGGTTAGAAATGGGAATGGGTTACACTGACCCAGAGGACAGGCTGCCTATCGAAGGTTAGTCCTCACTGTCCCGACCCAGGCTCCTCCAGACCTTTATGACCTTCAGCTCTGGCCTCAAGGGAGTCCTGGGATGGATTCTAAACTGTCAGCAGGAGGGTTGATCCTGGATGGGGGGGGCAAGGACAGTGTCCAGATGTGGATGTGAGAAGTGTGTTGGTCTCCAAACATCTGTCATTTTTTTTTTTTTTTGACACATTTGCTATCAAGATGTAGGGTCTACACCAATTTCCCTGGAACTTGAGCAGATTTTGAGACTGCTAGACAAACAGAACTGTGGCAGAAGTGACACTGCAGAGCTTCTGAGGCTAGCTTAGAAGAGGCAACAGGGAGGGGCTCTCTCTCTCACTCACTCACTCTCTCTCCTCACTTGCACTGCAGTCTTGAGCCGCCATATGAGAAAAAGAAATGACCTGAAGCCTCCATGCTGGTAAGACCACATGGTGGGTGAGAGAGAGAGAGAGAGAGAGAGAGGAGAAGTGCCAGGGAAGACCCAGCCCTGGCTTGAGTCTTTCCAGCCCAGAAGTCAGGCACATTAAGGGCAGATACCTTTGGGACTCAGCCTCAGACACCATCTGGTTATAACTTATGAGAAACTCAAAGCCAGAATCACCCAGCTGAATGAACCACTCTTGAAATCCTGGCCCACAGAAGCTGTAAGAGATAATACAGTCATGTGCCATACGGCAATGTTTCAGTCAATGAGGATGGCACATCCAATGGTGGTCCCGTGAGATTATAACGGAGCTGAAAATTTCTAGTGATGTCATAACAACATATCACTTATATGTTTATGTGGTGCTGGTGAGAACAAATCTGCACTGCCAGTTGTATAAAAGTACAGCTCATGCAGTTATGTACAGTGCATAGTACATAGTACTTGATAACGTGCATAGTACACAGTACTTGATAATGATAGTAAATGACCGTGTTCGTGGTATTTACCACACCATATTTTATCACTATTTTAGAGTGTACTCCTACTTGTTAAAAAAAAAAGTTAATGGTAAAACAGCTTCAGGCAGGTCCTTGAGGAGGTATTCCAGAGGAAGTCATTGTTATCTTAAGAGATGACGGCTCCATGCACGTTACTGCCCTTGAAGACCTTCCAGTGGGACGAGATGGGGAGGCGGAAGACAGTGAGATGGATGATCCCGACCTGTGTAGACCTAGGCTAATGTGTGTTCTTGTGTCTTAGTTTTTTTAAAAAAAAAAAAAAAAAAAAAAAGTTTACAAAGTAAAAAAATAAAAATTGTAAAAGTAGAAAAATGTTTATAGAATAAGAATATAAGGGAAGAAAATATTTTTGTATCTATACAGTTTAAGCTAAGTGCTATTATGAATAAAAATCGAATGTTTATAAAGTTAAAAAGTTATATAGTAAGCTTACTATTGAGGAAAGAATTTTTTTTAAAAAAATGTAGCATAGCCTAAGTGTACAGTGTTTGTCAAATGAACAGTAGTGAATAGTAATGTCCTAGGCCTTCACATCCACTCACCATTCACTCACTGACTCTCCCGGAGCAACTTCCAGTCGTGCAAGCCCCACTCACGGTAAGTACCTATGTAGGTATACTATTTTTTATCTTTTATACTGTATATTTATTTACGTGCCTTTCTTTTCTATGTTTATATATTTAGCCAGGCATGGTGCTATACGCCAGTAGTCCCAGCCCCTCAGGAGGCTGAGGCAGGAGGATTGCTGGAGCAATCCAGGACAAGACTGGACTGAACAACAGGGCAAGATCCCATCTCTTAAAAGAACAGCAACAAAACAACAGATATCTAGATACACAAATCCTCACCGTTGCCCAGCAATGTGCTACAACCGCCTCTAGCATTCAGTAGAGTGACTTGCTGTGCAGGTTTATAGCCTAGAAGGAACAGGCTCTAACCGTATCACCTAAGTGTGTAGTAGGCTATACCCTCTAGGTTTATGAAAGTGCACTTCTGACTTTCACACAACAATGAAATTGCCAAGGACACATTTTTCAGAATGTATCCCTGTCATTAAGCGACACATGACTGTACTAAAGTGAGCTCTGTGTCTTAACCCAGGAAGTTTTGGGGTGATTCATTTTGCAACAATAGAGAGGTGGAGCAGAAAGGAGGAGAAAGTCACCTTCTGAATACTCAATATTTACCATTAGCAATGGAACCCCATTCACATGGCTTTTCGTGGCAAGGCCTTTCTGAGACTTGCATAACACCTCTGAGA